ACATAATATATAGTTTTCAATATATATATTTTATTTTTTTACTTTAATTTTGTTTTTTTTTTTAAATTTTGAATATAGATTAGTGCAGAGTCTTGCAAGTATCGTGGTGCATTATTTGGGACATTCCGTCGTTCTATATTTGAACATGTTTTTAAAAAGAAAGTTTCACCAACCGTTAACTCTGAAAGTTCTGAAGCTGAAATAGCTTCTTGGAAGTCAAGTGATGAAGTACAATGGTGTCTTGAAAACTTGGACATGGTGATTGAAGAAGAAGACAAGACATACCTTCAGATGGTTGCCAAAAAAGTGTTTGGACGACAACCTACAACAAATCAATATGCCGTCACACGCTCAATTTTACACAACCTGTTCAACCCAGAAATTACCAAGATTAAATTCGACGAAAAATATTTAACGCGGAAGTTACAATATTTCTTGGTAATGTATATATTTGTACCTACAATTATAATATGTTGCATCTCAATATCTGCTATCTTTATTAGTAATTTATGTAATTTTCTTTAATTATACGATTAATTTTATTAAATAATTTACAATAGCATAATAATAATGGTGACGATGATGAAACAGATCAGGAAGATTCGAGTACTTCCGATAGTGAATAGATATCATGCTTAACTCAAGTTCTTGAAGCGTTTTCTCCAAAAATAGTTAGCTTGCATTAACTATAAATTATCCAATTTAATTAATATTATATTCTTTGAGATCGTGGTTGAACAATTGTACTGGAACTATTGCTTTAGTATACTTTATTTAGATTTATGTAACATTCTATATGAATTTAAAGTTGATTGGCTTTTATTTAAAAAAAGTTGTGTAATAATTAAATAAATATTAAATAAAATTTAATATTATACGAATAATAAATAAAAGTTTAATATGTTCAATATAATTTTTATATAAATTTTATATAAAATTTAATAATAAGTAAAATTTTAATATAATTATTGTATAAATGTTATATAAGTTTTATATTTTATTAATTTTATATAAAATTTAAATAAATTTTATTAAAAATTCTATATAATTATATATATATATTTATTTATATAAAAAATATAACTATGTAAGTCTACATTGGGTTTGTAAATTTATATAAAATTTTTAAATAAAATTTATATAAAAATTTTATATAAACTTATATAAAAATAACATTGTGATGGATGTTGTATGTATGTAGTTTTAAGGCAGATGTGCACACCCCACACTGCTTTCAAATTTAAGAGTAGTAAATAGTATATAGTTAGATATATATGTTGGCAAAAAAAAAAAAAAAAAAAAGAGAGAAAAATCGTGGCTCAAGACTGTATTTGCAGCTCAATGACCACTTGATAGAGCAAATCCCATGACAATTGGTAGTATATGTTCGGAGTTATATGCAAATATAATATATATATCTATCTATATATATGTAAAAAAAAAAAAGAGAGAAACACAAACGAACGCGCATGTTCGTGTAGAGGTTCAAATAAGGCATACGCGTAGGTTTGTGTATAGATTGAGGCAGGTATGTACACCCCACAATGCTTTCAAATTAAAGAGCAATGAATGGCATATTGTTGGAAAAAAAAAAGAGGGAAAACGAACGCGCATGTTCGGGTTGAGGTTTAAATAAGGCATGCAAACGCGTAGGTTTGTGTGTGTGTAGATTGAGGCAGGTGTATGTATACTTCACACTGCACTCAAGTTAAGATAAAGGATCCAGAAGAGCTAAAATGTTTGGCAGGAGATCACGTGAGGTGGTTGATGTTTAAATGTAGTTGTATACAGTATAGGTATGATTACAGCTAAGATTGTGCGATCCTCGCAAACAATCCCATATTGTACTACATCGTCGCATAGATTTATTGTTG